CGAACGGGGGAACAGGGTATTACGGGGCCACCGGGTCCAAAGGGAAAACAAGGAATTATGGGTCCAAAGGGGGAACAGGGAATCGCAGGAGTTCCCGGTCCCAGAGGGATCACCGGTGCAAAGGGAGAATCCGGAGATTCGTTTTCACCTCCCGCGATGGTGATCTCTCCGATGAAGCAAACAACCGTGACGAAGTACAATGCAGTGTTCCAGTGTTACGTCGTTGGAAATCCCAAGCCGACTGTCACGTGGGTAGGAAAGAGCGGCACTCCCTTAAGAAGTCAAGATGGCAGATTAGAAGTGCGTCACTTGACAGTTGAGGACGCAGTAGAATATACTTGTATTGGAAGAAACTTTCTGGGCATTACAAGCCAGACTGCTATTTTGACTGTCGAAAAACGTAAGTTTCACTTGTTCAATTTATGACGGCACAATGGCCTAATGTTTATTAACGAGTTGGAATTCAGATTGTCATGGGACAGTTTTGCGAATGGCCGGGGGTCTTGTTTTGTGTTTTTGCTTTGCCATGAACTGATTTTGTTTTGCTATAAGTTAATTTTGTTTTGCCGTAGAATTTGAATGATTTTGTTTTTTTTGTAAAATGCTTTTGTTTTGCCGTAAATTGACTCTTTTTTGCCGTGAATTGATTTTGCTGAGAAACCCAGCCATAAATGTTCTTTTGCCGATCGCCAATTTGTTCACTTCTCATAAGAAAGGCGTAAAAAGGTACTAAGAACAGCTTTGCAAACAGTTTCCTGGGTACTAAACACCAAGAGACATAAATTCATATTCAGTCGCTATACTTACGTGAGAGCCGCGTACGCAGCTCTTAATTGCGCGTTTCACGGGTTATCTGAACTCGTGCCAGGCTTTCCTTTGAATTTCACTTTTCCCCAGGTCAACGCAAATTGAGCTCTGGAGGCGTAACGATGAAGAGAAATTGTCAAAATTATTACGAAGAGCATACATCTAAGGCCCGGTTCATACGTCGCATTTCTACCGTGTCGAATTCAATTCAACGATTTAAATTCGACAGAAATTCGACAGAAATTCGACGTCTGAATCGGCCGCCGCATTTCTGCTGCACGTTCGACTGGTCTTGTCGCATTATCCGACAGAAATACGACACCGATTCAGACGTCGCATTTCTGCCGTGTCGAATCTAATGCATACATTATGTTAATGCATTGAGCATGCGTAAATGTGTTCCCTCCAAAGAAAAAGAAGAAACTTGGCCATCCTCGACCCAATGCAACCTGAACATATTGTAACACATATTGCTCCGTTGTCAGCCTTCTTCCTCTCGTTCATTGGCGCACAATTTTTAGCAAAATTAAAGTCCTTCGTCGCTCAGTATTTTCGTCCGCCATATTGAGTACTCTACGTTTAAAACATTTTCCGCTGGCCGACATACCCGACAGTATAAATTCTGAATTAAGTGCGACACAAGTGCGACGTATGAATCNTTAAAACATTTTCCGCTGGCCGACATACCCGACAGTATAAATTCTGAATTAAGTGCGACACAAGTGCGACGTATGAATCTACAGTCGCATTTCTGCCGCACTTAATTGAATTGAATTCGACACGGCAGAAATGCGACGTATGAACTGGGCCTAAACCTCTCATCAACTTTTCCTATTGTTTTTAACTTGAAACGTTTCTAAACAGGAGGGAATCAAATTTTTCAATTGTAGTTTTCACCAGCATAATCTTGTGACAAAAAGTAATAATTGGCCTCATAAACACTCTTGTTCTTTGGCCATTTCAATTTAACAAGAAATAAATTGCAAACAGCGGCAACAAACATAACACAAGAACTACGCATGGTTTGGAACAACAATCTAAAATTTTCTTGACGTTTCGCATCACCTTTTGTTTTCGTTATTGTTTAGTTAGTTACCAGTACTTCGCTTTGTATTTTTAAGTTTTAAATCTTTCGTTTTTTGTAACCGCCACTTCTGAAGATGCGTGCTGTAGCATGCGAAACGTCAAGAAAATTTTAGATTGTTGTTCCAAACCATGCGTAGTTCATGTGTTATGTTTGTTGCCGCTGTTTGCATTTTATTTCTTGTTAAATAATTGGCCTTTTCAGTAATCGAAATTAATAACATAATCTACAAAATTTCCCTTGTTAATGAAGACAAAGGCTTTTAAAACTCGACCCTGCCTCATTTTCTCTTGGTGTCACCAGTGACCCATATGAGATCAACATCGCAAAAAAATGCTTTACTTTCGTTTTTTCCCTAATTTGGAGTACAGGAAGTTGAGAGAATTACCCAGTTAGTGGCGGAGACAGTAGAACGATTTTAAAACGATTCCAACGGTCCCGAAGATGGTCTGGGAGAAGGAAAACAATTCAGAAGGTGTTACAAGTAATTAATTGAGAAAGTAACTTCCTGAATTTTCTCGAAATTCGAAGCGACAATAAAACTTTTAGGTAAACGAACGTTCGTGTCACTTCGCAAGCACTCGCGGTTTGAAGACATGTTCAAATCTGACTGAATACTCTGCGGATCGCTAGTTTACGTTTATAATGAATACTATGTATATTGAGTCAACTTACGTAGAATTCAGCTCGACAACTTTGGATAAAAGCTTCGTTTTGTAGCATTTCGTTGCGGACTCGAATTTGCATATCCATTTGCAGACCAGTTAAATGCATTTTGACTGAAACACGTCCTCTCTGTCCGGGAAAAAAATCGTAGTTAACTCTAGATTTTTTTGGTTTCTGTTCGGTTTTTGGGATGCCTTTGCTTATATATCAAGGGAAAAGGTTTCCTCCTGCATCAGATTCAAACAGCAAAGTGGTTTCACACTATTTTTGAGTTTTACCCATTTTACGTTTCTTGCTAAGTTCTTCTGTTTAATTTTTCAGTTTTACATTTCTTGCTAAGTTCTTCTGCAAAATTCTAAAATTCTAAGTTCTTCTAAAATTTTTTGTAAAAGTTGTAATAGTCTTTATAAAGACAACCTATGTTTTTTGTTGTTGTTGTTGTTTGTTTGTTTGTTTGTTTGTTTGTTTTGTTTTGTTTTTTTTTTCTGGAAAGTACTTTCTTGTGCTCTTTCAACTGAGATATAGAAAACTGCACTGTTATGCATACTTGGCAAAATAGTTAATAAGATGTGTTGAATTTGACGTTTTTTGTCACAATACAAAGTTGAGTTTTAAAGCCATTTGGAAAATTTCGCGCGCTCTGGTTACATAGCTACAGGGTGTATCGTCATAAGATTTTCTACCAATACGCAACCACGCCTCAAGAAAGATTGGATATGGCCAGGAGCCATAATCGGGGACGGAGACCGTAAGCGCGCGCCATTTCAAGTATTGGGGTTGTCCCCATGATATGGACAATAATTCTATTTTTAGAACAAATTGCGCCATCGCCTGCGGCACACGCGCGTACATGCTGCAAGGATTTCTGCGGATGTCTCTCTGGGGAAATGGCGTTAGAAATTCCGGAAATTTTTCATGTTTTTGGCCCACAACTCAACGCGTTTACTTCTGTTGGAATTTTGCTTA